TGTTGACAAAGAAAGGGAGTCTTCCATGAGGGTAATGGGGAATCCTGGAACCAGGCAGCCTACCCGTTGGGTTTCTTGGGTCGGGGAGGTAATTATTTGCAAAGACTTTGGAGTGGCCATTGAAGCGGTTGGTTCTTTCGTCGGTGGATCTAGTAGGCATGCCGGATTTAGACCCGTGAAGTGGGACGGAGGTTGTACTCTGTCCCCTTGGAGGGCCAGAGTGTTTGCTCTCTGGGAAATGTCTTGAAGGGTAGGCGGTAATTCCTGGCTTGTTGGTGACATGACGAGGAGGCTGGAAGGTTACAAAGACTCTAAAGGGGCTGTGTGTGTCCCTGTGCGGTGGCCTCGCTGTTCCACTCGGCGGGACGGGTTTGGCAGGGGCTCTGGTCGGTTGGCGAGAAATGTGAATGCCCCCATCCCGAGAGTGACTATCTGGCCCGCGGGGTAGAACGCTCTGAGTCTTGCCATCCACTCCTTCCTTCCCTGACTCCTGCTTGGGCGGGACGTTGAATTTGTGCCAACTGTAGGGAGGGGTGGCTAATGCACCTGGCCGCCATTCATTCAGAGCCCTCTCTTGGCTCCCGGAGAGTGTTCTGGTTTCTGGACTCACCACATGATGCAAGACACCATTCTCCTTCCAATTTGTGGACATCGGAGACCTGCTGGAAGCTGCAGTGGTTGGCTCTGAAGACACAAGCATTGTGGGAGAGAACGGAGAGGCCATCTCCTCCACGGTGGCAGAAGTAGGGCTGAGGTCCTGTGGTCCACTTGCCAAATAGTCAGCAGTTGGAGTGACTTCATCATGGTGCTGACCACGGATGGTGGTCTCCGCCTGGCTCAGAGATAGCTCTATGTCTGTGCTCCAGACAGGAGTTGAAACATCAGCTTCTTTCTGCTGAAATGGTGCAGAGACAGCAACCCAAAGTGAGCTCTCGGAAGACCAATCTCTACCCTCTGACTCTTCAAAATGGGGCGACTCTGTAAGATCTTCCCAAGAGTTGGTAGCAGGCGTGTCTGTCTGCTGCCTCCCGGGATGGACGGTCCACAAGGGATCCCAGCTGGGAGTTCCTACAAAGTCTACAGAAGTGTCTTCTTTCTTCTGTTTTTCTGTGGTGGAGATGGAGGAGCCAGGAGTTGACACGTTAACAAATGATTTGCTGGGAACTAACGTGTCCATTGTATATTCATCGACATTTGTGACCCCATCATCCTTAATTTCCTTTCCACTTGGCACAGGTGTGTGTGTGACTGGGACTGTCTGGTGGACTTTGTTGTGAGATAAATGAGTTTGGGGGGTAGTTGTCATATAATCTTCTGCTCTAGTTGCCTCATAGGAGTCCCCAGTTTTCAGAGAAATGGTGGTAGGCAGTAGTTTCATTTCAGAACCAGGAATAATAACATTTTCATGTTTATTTTCTGGAGAATTGCTAGGTTCGGATGCAGGTACTCTTGAGCTCACTGTGGGAGTGGCATACCGATGCTTGTTCGGCCTTTTCCTGTGTTTTCTTCGTGGGGTGCCCTTGGACACGGGTTCTGCATGCTTCTCCATGTCCAACCGCTTGGGGGTATGAAGTGTGTTATCCGCCCAAGGTGTTGGAACCAGAGAACTCTCCACTTGGTCTGGAACCTTCATCTCAGGGACTGGAGTTGGTTGAGGAGGCAACGTTTCCATCGGGGCCAACGTCGTCGGTGAGGTGTGCTTAGGTCGGTGTCGGAATCTGTGGGGGCGTAGTCTCCTCTTGCCATTGGGTCTCCTTTGAGAAGGCTGAGTGGCCAATGCCGATGGCGAAACAACCTTTGGGCTTGGAGTACTCATGACTACTGTGGGCATACCCTTGTCCAATGGTGTAGCAAGACTGGTTTTCCCAGGATGCTGAAATGGAGAGGGACTGCTTATCTCTCCCCCAGTGATGGGTGCCATGTCTAATCTTTCCCTTACAGAACTGGTGGAGTCTTTGGGGTCTCTGCCCAGCCTGTCTCCTTCCCATGGCATCTGAAACTTCTCCTCCATGCCTTTTTGAATCAATGGGGTGCCTCGAGTGCTTAAATCCCCATTCACAAGCTGGGTGTCATCTGTTGGACCTCGTCGCGGCAGTTGGGCTGGGACATCTGGTTCCTCTCCAGTGGGATCTTGAAGTGGCTCAGATGTACCCAAGTCAGTGATCCTCACGGTGGGAGTCGGAGCCCAATAGGAAGAGGTCCACTCGTTCATGCTCTCCTCACCTGGTTGGGAACTGGTCTGTAAACCCGTGTCAAAGGATGGCAACGTCTCTGACTCGGCCAAGGAGAGGATATCCAATGGGAGCTCCTCCTCACCAGAGGCAGACTCTGCCGTGGACTCGACACCTGCTGTAGACCAGTCCCCTGTGGCTGTCTGTTCGCTGGTGTGCTCTTCAAGTGTGTCCTGGGTTTGGAGAGTAGGAGATAACTCATAAGGTTCAGATACCAGTATTGTGGGTGGGATCCACTTTGTGTCCACTGCAGTGGGAGTTATCTCCTCAGGGTTCTCAAAAGACTCATTGTCAAGAACATCTTCCAGGTCTGTGTGGGCTGGTCTGGGATCAGCAACCGTCTCTTCATCGTGGTTGTGTTCTTGTCTCCTCCCCGTGGAGGAAATGATGCTAGACAGCTGTGTTTCCTCACCAAATAGAGACCTATCTGCTGAGGATTCTTCTGTAAGGGTTGATATCTGCATGGGAGATATAGATGGGGGAGAAGCAGCTGGTAACAGAGGTGTGATTTCGAGACTCCTTGTGGATGGAGCAGTAGTGGTTTTAGGGACCTGAGGTACTTCTGTGCCCTTGGGGAGATTTCGGCCACGTACTCTGGCTAAAATATCCGCCCAACGCTCAGGATTGATCTGCTTGTTGGCCATGTTTATCCTGCGTCTGGACTCGAACACTCTGCGACCTTCGGCGATGTTGGGCTCTGGTTCTTTTTCAGAATGCTTCCAAGGTTTCAGCTTCCTTCTTCCCTTTTTGGTTTTCTTGTCTTTGGGGGTGGCATCCTCTTCCGTTTTGATGAACATCTCTTGGTCTTTTGAATGCAGAACTTTCCTTGCCTTGTTACCTTCTTCTCCTATGCCCGAGCCCCCTTCATCCTCAACAATGTCCCCTCTCAGTCTTGCAAGACCTTTTGCACCTGGGTGTCTGCCTCTTTTGGGTGACCGGCCAGATCCTTTCTTAGTCACCATGACCCCCACTGTCAAATGGTCTACCCCTTGCTGGTTGACAGCCACACATCTGTAGTAACCACCATCGCCAGCTTGAACTTTCGGGATGAATAGAGTTCCATTCCCCAGCATATACACGTGTGATGTGTTAGCCACATCATTAATTATTCTTTTGTTTGGAAGAACCCAGCTCAGGTGGGCTTCAGGTACTGCCAACGCACTGCAAGGCAACATCACCGGCTCCCCTGGGTTCTTGTTCATTGTCATGGTATACCTTTCAGGAGGCTGAGTCACAGGTGCCTGCACAACCACCCTATAGGTCATCCGATCCATTTCATCCCTCACCTGAGCGATACACTGGTACAAACCCGAGTCAGACTGCTCCATGGATTTGATCCTCAGCCAGCCACTGCTGAGGATAGAGAATTTGCCATCCTGGTCATCCATTGGTGCTTTCAGGATAGAGCCATTCGGAAGCACCCAGAAGATGGACGGACTCTCGGACGCTTTCACGTTGCAGCTCAGTTGACACGGACCCCCTTCCAGGACAGTCTGAGCTCTTTGAATGGCTCTGTTTGGCTCGATCATTACCCAGCTCCTGCTTCGAGCCTGCCTCATATCTTTGCCAGACACTGTTTGAGAATATGGGGCCTGATAAGACAGTAGCACCATCTTGGCTGTACTCTGCCGTCGATTGAGCTGGATGTCTATGGACGGTTGCATGACCCATTCCGGTTCTGCAAGAATCTGAGCTTTGACCCCCGTGTAGTAAAGGCTTTCATCGTCAGCATCTTGCCGGTACTGGTAGCTGACTCTGGGGTCTTTGGTAAGCATGAGTTCCCGGTGCAAGGTCACAGGGACCTCACTGTAATACGCTATCAACTTCCACAGTTTTTCATAGTTTTCCCGAGTCATCGGACACTCAAAGTCCAAGACTATGGTAGCGTTTATGTCAATCTCTGGAGGATCCGTTTGGTTCAGGTGAATTTTGGACACATCTGTTGGCTTCTTGATGTAACAGGCCAAGTCCACCGTGTTCCCGTGCTCATCGGTCATGTTCAACGTAACGTTCCACGGGGGGAGTCGCAAGCCCTCCAGGGCAAGCTGGTTGTCATTATCCTCTTCTTGTTCCTGCTCTTCCTCTAGACGCTCGGTCTGGTTGGATCTCAGAGGAGACTCGATAGAAGGCTTCAGACAAGCAATGTCGTTCAGCTTGTGAATCTCCTGCTTGTATAAATTCTTGGGGCTGGAGCACATGGCACACAGTTGACCACCTTCGTAGGCTTTGTCCTTCTTACACTTCAGAATCCCTAAAGCAAACAAGCAGACAGATATCCCAATGAGTTCATCAACCAAACAATAGCGTACCTTGCATAAGGCCTGAGGGTAAAGCCTTTGTTTGCAACTCGACCACCCAGATGCAATCCAGTAAAGACAGACAGGTGGAGGGGCTGGCCGGTGGCATGGTAGTTGAGACACTGGACTCCCACATGACTGACCATGGTTCGAATCCCAGATCTGCTAGCTTGCTTTCGCAGTTCCCCACTGTTCTGCCTCATTACACAGGGTGCTACCCACGTACATGGTTTCAATTACCAACCCTTAGCCTGATAACTCCCATATGTCCGTCTCCAGCCCCAGCCCATTCCCCGAGCTCCGCGCCCAACTGCCTGCTTGACATGTCTATTTAGATGCTAAAAGGCTCTGGAAACTGACATCCACGAGACAGAATTATGTTCTCGCCCCGTTCCAAGCCTCCGCGTCTCAGGCTGGCTCGGTATCACTCCGCGCTGCTGTAATTTCTCCAATTAGGCCAACTCGCAAGATGAGTAGCTCTTGTTGACAGCCCCCTTGGGATCTGCCCACTCCGTTCCCATCCTACTGGGAGTAAGCCGGGGAAACTGCGTCATCTGAGGCTTGGAGAATTCCCAAGCCCTCCGGTGGCTTCAGTAGACTGACTTCCCCCGCCCCAACACGATTGTCTAAGTGACAGACTGAACGGTTCACAATGCAAATAGAATTGTTTCCCTGACTGCCCCCATAAACAGCAACACGGGTACTCAAAGCACACACATGCCCATGCACACACATACAAAGGGACTTCAAAAAGTCTGTAGAGGGAGCCAGCAGATGGTGTCATGGTTATTTCATTGGACTCCCATATAGTCGACTGCGGTTCAAAACCTGGACCCAGCAACCTAAAACTCACACCTGGTGTGTGTGCGTGCTCCAAATCCCAAGAGGACAATGGAGGAGAATGGATTGTAGCATGGCCATCCCCCCTTGGGGGTTTATCTATTGCTTTCTGTCTCTCTGGTGAGTGCATGCACACAAAAGCAGAAATCTCTCTCTGAAAAAGGAAAAAAAATATCTGTAGATAAATGAAACAAAACAGTATGAGTTTGTCTCGGTGCAAAATATTTTCTGAGATCCATGCGTCACTTTTTCAAGACACACATTTTCTGTACACTTTTGGAAGACTTCCTTGTATTGAAATACATATACACGGGACCAGCAGTTAGCGTAATGGCTATGTCGCTGGACTCCCATGCAGTCGACTGCGGTTCAAGTCCCGGATCCAGTGGCTTAAACTCACGCCGGGCGCGTGTGCGTGCGTGCCCAAGATCCCGAGAAGAGAATGGAAGAGAAGGGATTGTGGCGTGGCCATCGCCCCGGGGGATGGGACGATTTTTCTTTCCCTCACTTTGTCTCTGTCTCTTTCCAGTGACTGCATGCATCTTAAGACAAAAATCTCAACCAAAAAAGGAAAATAGAAACTTTCTAAGTGCATGCACATGCATGCCCCAGATCCCTACGTGAGAGAGAAATGGAGGGGGAAGGATTGTGGAGTGATCCTCCCTCATGGGGAGAAGCTGTCTCACTTGCCCTCTCTCCTTTTCTCTGTGTCTCTCCAGTGAGCACCTGCACCCCCTGGCAAATTAAATAAAAATATAGAGGGTCTGGCAGGTGGCATGGTGGCTAAGGCACTGGACTCCCACATGGCCAATCACTGTTTGAGTCCTGGACCTGGCTACTTGCTTTCTGACTCTTCTCTCTCTCTCTCTCTCTCTCTCTCTCTCATCAAATTAAAAAATAATAATTTTAAAAAATAAAATTAAATAAACAATTAATTTTTAAGAAATAGATAGGGAGAGAAATCCATGTCGGAGAATGAAACTTCTCCGAAAGGCCAAAAGAAGCGTGCAGGTCAGTGGGGGCTGCAGGCGCCCCGGGTGCTGTCCTGATCTTACCTTTGGACCTTGCATCCCAGTCCAGGAACCACCTCATTTCACAGTCGCAGGTCCACGGGTTCCCGTGCAGGTACAGGTTTTCCAGCAGCGGCATGTTCTGAAGCATGGCCGGGGGCAGTGCGGTGATGCGGTTGTCCGCCAAGTAGAGGTGCCTGACGGTGGACAGCCGGAAGTGGTCCAGCAGCGTGACGGTGGAGAAGGTGCTGGGGTGGAGCTGGTGCAGCAGGTTGCCTTCTAAGTGCAGGAGCCGCAAGGACGTGAGGCCGCTGAACGCGTGCGGGTGGATGAACTCGATCTTGTTGTGGTCCATGTGCAGACGCAGCAGATTCGACAGCCCTTGGAGGGTCTCCCCTGTGATCACTCTCACCTTATTATAGCTGAACTTGAAAACCTGCAGAGAGAAAGAGGCGGGGAAAGAAAACAAATTCCCTCTGTCGAGTTCAAAGAACCCAGAGCCAGGGCCGGCAGGTGGCATGGTGGTCAAGGTGCTGGACTTCCACGTGGCTGATCACAGTTCAACTCCCAGACCTGGAGGCTTGCTTTCTCACTTTCCCTCTCTCTGGCTCTCTGTTCAAATTTTAAAAATAATCATAAGAGATCGTAGTCGACTGCAGTTCGAGTCCAGGATCCAGCAGCTTAAAACTCACACCAGGTGCACGTGTGTGCGTGCCCAAGATCCTGAGAGGAGAATGGAGGAGAAGGGACTGTGGCGTGGCCGTCCCCCTGGGAGGTGCTTTCTTACTTTCTGTCTCTCTGTATCTCCAGCAAGTGCATGCACCCTATACCAAAAATCTCTCTCTCAATAATAATAATAAATAAATAAAGTTAAATAAAGAATTCTATTTTTTAAAGAGGTTTTTGCCTTACCGCACATGTGCAAGAGAGTCAGACACGGTGAAAGGGACAGAGAGAAATCACCCCCCAGGGGGGATGGCCACAATGCAATCCCTTCTCCTCCATTCTCCTCCTAGGATCTTGGGCACGCACGCATGTGTGCCTGGTGTGTTTTAAGCCACCGGGTCCAGGACTCGAACTGTCGTCGGGAATGTGGGAACTCAGTGACATAACCGCTGTGCCATCTGCTGGCCCCAAATGCCTGTTGTTCAGTTCTAGCCTTCCAGATTGCCATGAGCGATGTTCCCGAGTGCTGGCGTTTACCTGCAGAGAGCTGAGGTCTCTCAGAGCTCTGTCGGGAATGTTTGGGATCTCGTTGCCATGAATCATCAGGAGCTGCAGCTTACTCAGTCCCGCAAACGAGGTTTCCGACAGGGCCTGGATGCTATTAAACCTAGAACATAACGACAGTAATTACAACCAGAGACGGTGAGGGTTTAAGTCCCCTCTGGGATGGAGTCCCAGCCTGCCCGGGAGCAAGCGAACCAACATGGTGATTCGGAGGTCCTAAGGCTGTCCTTCCCAGAGCACGGTCACCTCCTGTCCTGTCCATTTCTGAAGTGAAAAGGAAACAAACACAGGGACCAGCAGTTGCCATAGAGGTTACATCTCTGGACTCCCACATAGTGGACCACAGTTCGAGTCCTGGTCCCGCCAATCATGTGTGCGTGCCTGCCCAAAACCCAGAGAGGAGAATGAAGGAGAAGGGAATGTGGGCATGGCCATTCCTCTTGGGGGTTGATTTCTCACTTTCTGTCTCTCTGTCTCTCTGGCAAGTGCACACACTCTATAGCAAAAAATGTCCCTAACAGGGAAAAAAAAAAAACAGTTTTTGGAGAGACTTTTGCTATAGGAAATGAGCGCTCACCAGAGAGGTAGAACGAGATGAGAGAGAGAGAAAGTGAGAAATCACCCCCCAGGGGGGATGGCCATGCCACAATCCCTTCTCCTCCATTCTTCTCTCGGGATTTTGAGCACGCACGCAGATGCGCCCGGTGTGAGTTTTAAGCCTCCAGGTCTGGGATTCGAACCACGGTCAGCCATACAGGAATTCAGCACCTTAACCACCACCTGCTGGCCCCACAAACTTTGTTTTTAATCCTGGGCATTGTGCATTTGCCAGAGAGACAGCAAGCATGGGAGAGGGAGTCAGCACCCCGTAACAAGGCATGTTCACGGTACAACCCCTTCTCTGCATCTCCATCCTGTTAGGGTGTGGGGCACACATGCACACAGCTGCCAATAGTTTTCAAGTGGCCAGGGCTGGGATTTGAACCACGTGACTGCCAGTGTAGAGTCCAGCTCCCTTAACTGCCAGGCCATGGGTTCATCCTAGAACCAAAACATTTTTATGAGTGTTTACTCAGTGAAGGAATAGTCAGGAAGAATTTTGGCCCGAGATATGCCAGTGTGGTCTAGAGGGTATTTTGTGGCAATCAGCAGGACTCAGGATTCTAAGCAAGGCTGTTCCCCATGGCCCCTTGTTGGAAACTTTGCCCTGTGATCATGAGTGACACGCGACCACCAAACGTGGGAAAGATGTAGATACCCGAAGTCCCTGTGGGTATGAGAGGAGGGACACTATGGGAGACATTTCAATGAGGACCAGTGGGCCAGCAGGTGGCATGAGGGTTCAGTCTCACTGGACTCCATCCATTGGGGGTGTTGTTCCTCTGTGTCTTTCTACCTCAGTCTGTCTATCTTGCTCATGCAAAAAAATGAAAGAAATAAAAAGAAAAAGAAAGAAGGAAGGGAAGAAAGAAGGAAGGAAGGGAACAAGAGAAAGAAGAAATAAAAGAAGGGAGAAAGAGAAAAAGAAGGAAAGAGAGAGAGAGAAAGGAAGGAAAGAAGGAAAGAAGGAAGGAAGGAAGGAAGGAAGGAAGGAAAAGAAAGAGAGAAAGAAGACAAAGAAGAAAGAAAGAAGAAAGGGAAAGAAGAAGGGAAAGGAAGGGACAGGAATGGAACATGAGGGGAGAAAGGAAAAGAGAAGACCCAGTTGTGTGCTCACTCCCCCTAACAACCAGCCTTGGGGACCACCTTTCAGCTACAAAGTCTTTGGAACAGAAACTGTCATCTCCGACTCCAAATCCACTCACTTCAATGACTTCAAACTCTTCAAAGACACTTTCATGACTGCATTGTCTTACTGGGGTTGTTGGGAAAGTCATGACACATGTTTGCCTGGAAAATCATATCACGACTTTTCCAACAACCCAATAAAGAAGACCAACAGAGGCAGAGAGAGCATCAGACGGAATTAAATGCACCCTGCTTTTTTTTTTTTTTTGAGAGAGAGTTTTGCTATAGGGTGAGTGCCCTCACCAGAGATACAGAGAGAGAGACAGAGAGACAGAAAATGAGAAACCACCCCCCAGGCGGGATGGCCACACCATAATCCCTTCTCCTCCATTCTCTTCTCAGGATCTTGGCCATGCATGCACATGCGCCCGGCGTGAGTTTCAAACCACAGGGTCTAGGACCTGAACTGCAGTTGATTACATGGGAATCCAGTGGCATAATTGTCACGCCATCCGTTGGTCCCCACTCTGCCTTGCTAAGGCAATGTTATTTGTATCCAAAATGGCTCATGGGCCAGAGTAAGGGGTGATCCTGTTTCAGGTTAGATTCCTATACTTGCTGGACAATGACAGGGACTTCTCCTCTTCTGGATTGATTGTTGACAGTGCCCAGTCCTTTTCCGTAGTGTTTTACTTTCGTGCTCCATCCCTGAGTCTGCTGTGTCATCCAGCGGTAAGAGGGGAGTTGTAAAAGAACTGAGCTCGAACTCATCCTGTCCTTTGTGGGTCTAGTGATGGTGCTGGGGTTCACAGAACTGAGCATGGCTCTCTGCGGGTCACTTATGGGTCTTTACCGCCTAACCCTCACGAGGCAGTCATGCACCATTCATTTCACACGGCAGGAGCTTTGATTGGTAAAGTTTCCAAACGGTTCAAGGTCATGCAGCAAGGCTGCAGGGGAAAGGAGTGAACCATGCAACTTCCAATGGCAAAGCTGATGGTCAGCTCCCTACGTGCTATTTTGGCCCTGTTAAAATAAGATGGGGTTGGGCTCGCCGATGGAGCAGTGGTTAAAGTGCTGAATCCCACATGGCTGACTGACCAGTTCTAGTCCCAGACCCAGCAACTTGAAAAACACACTGGGCACATGTGCATGCAAGTACAAAATCCCAAGAGGAGAAGGCAGGAGAAAGCATTGCAGCATGGCCCTTCCCTGTGAAGGGGTGATCTCTCACTTTCTGTCTCTGTCTCTGCCTCCTCCAACCAGTGCACCTGCCCTACATGAAATGATTAAAATGAAAACCAAGATGGGGCTTCAAAATCTGGCAAACAAACCCAATAGCAATAGCAAGAAGAACTATGTCTTCGTGTGAGAATAAAGAAACCCACAGATGACAAGAACGCCATCCAAGAATACATAGACACTGTGTTAATGACATCCATGGTTGTGACCGTGACTATGGTATCCATCCTAGTGGTGTGGATCCAAATAAGAGAAGGTATATTGGGGCCAGCCAGTGGTGTAGTGATTAAGGTGCTGGACTCCTACATGGCCAATTGTGGTTCAAGTCCTGGACCTGGCGGCTTAAAATCACACCAGGCACATGTGCATAAGTGCCAAAAATTCCAAGAAGAGAATGGAAGAGAAGGGATTGCAGCATGGCCATTCCCCCCTGAAGAGTGATTTCTCATTCTCTCTCTCTCTCTCTCTCTCTCTCTCTCTCTCTCTCTCTCTCTCTCTCCAGAAAGCACACACACCTTATGACAAAAATCTTAATGAGAGACAGAGAGAGAGAGAGAGTATATTTTCTCCAGTGAAGAACTCACAGGTCTTCTAAAGAGCCAAGGGAAGGCAAGAGAGAGTCTTGTGGTTGCAAACAAGTTAGGGAGCTGGGGTCTCAGATTCTCCGTCTGTTTTATTCCCTGCTAGAGAGGGGACACCTGGAGGTGAAATAAGGCCATGAACAGAACACATGCTTGGAGGTCAAACAGGGTTGATGTTGCCTCCTGGCTACCCGGAGAAGTTACCTAACTTCTTGGAAGCGCAAATTCCTCAATAGGAATGCTACCCACTCTTCTTTGGAGGACTGTGCATGGGTTTACTGACATCATGTGTCTATGCCTTCAGATACTGCCACATGTGGTTCCGACAGGCAACACAATCTACAAGACGGAGAGTGGAAGAATGGGGGACGTTCCCAGCAACAGAAGACAGCAGAAGAAACACGGTAAACATTAGCAAAAGAGCTACTGACATGCACAAGGACAGAGAAAAACTAGGAGCCATAGAGTATGCGTGAATATGCTCAGTGATAGCATAACTATGCAAGTGTTCAAAACTTCACGGATTCCACACCACCACCAATGATAATATGACTCCACTCGCTCACGCAATGATTCTTCTCGGAAACATCCAGACAACCAAATTCAGCCCATTTCTACAGCTAACCACTTAGTCTATATTCTAGAATATCTTTTTTTGTTTTTAGAAGTTTTTGCCTTAGGGCATATGCACTTACTGGAGAGAGAGAGACAGAGACAGTAAAAGGGAACATGAGAAATCACCTCCTCAGGGGGAATGGCCATACCATGATCCCTTCTCCTTCATTCTCCTCCTGGGATCTTGGGCACACATGCACACGTGCCCGGCGTGAGTTTCAAGTCACCAGATCTGAGACTCCAACTGCAGTTGACCATGTGGGAGTCCATCGACATAACCACTATGCCATCTGCTGGCTCCCACTCTAGAATAGCTTTATCATCCATTAACTGGCAAATTCAAACCAATTTGGAAATTGGGTCAGGCATAATCTGTGCAGATCTTAGCTCGCTATGTGATTTTTCAGTAGAAGGCTGGGAATCTTTCCTTATTCCAACACAAGCACACAGGCTTTAGTGCCATAAATCTCTGCATGTGGATTTCCGGAAGGTCATTCCAGAACCATTCAAGGGTTGTTTTTGTGCGGTATATGGAAAGCACACAGGAATTGGAAAGGCTGTTCAGAGCAACCCACTACAGAGCAGACAGGTCACAGATGCATTGTGTTTAAAAAAAAAAGAGAGAGAGAGAGAGATTTTTGGTGTAGGGTGTGAGGGCTCACCAGAGACACAGAGAGACAAGAGACAGAAAGTGAGAAATCACCCACAGTGGGGAGGGAGGTGGCCACACTGCAATTCCTTCTCCGCCATTCACCTCTTGGGATCTTGGGCATACATGTACATGCACCTGGCTTGAGTTTTAAGCCACCAGGTCCAGGATTTGAACCACAGTCAACTACATGGGAGTCCAGCAATGTAACCATAATGCCATCTTCTGGTCCCACCTCCCCCCCACACACACATGCATTTTTTTAATCCACTTTTGAAATCGCTTTTCAGCAAAATTACTACACAGTGGCGATGCTCAGAGGCACTCCACAGAAAGGAGGCGCCCTGATACGGAAGGTCCACGACCCTCAGGAACATGGAGTGGAAGAGCCAGTCAAATATGCAGCACGATGCTCTGGGCATGGAGGAAGGTGTCTCACACCCCACAGGCACAAGACAAAGAATTACCTCCCCAAAATGGTACCAGGGCCCCACGTTGCTCTGCCTCTCCATGCCTTTTTTTTTTTTTTTTGGTAAGTTTTTTGTTTTTGGTTTTTGTTTTTGGTTTTTGGTTTTTGGTTTTGGTTTTGTTTTTATTTTGTTTTGTTTTGTTTTGCCATAGGGCATGTGAGCTCACTAGACAGAAAGGGAGAATCAGAGAAAAGGAAAGTGAGAACTCACCCCCCTCCTAGGGGGGATGGCCACACCACAATCCTTTCTCCTCCATTCTCCTCTTGGGATTTTGGGCACACATGCACACATAACTGGAGTGATTTTTCAAGCTGCTGAGTCCAGGACTCGAACTGCGGTCAGCCCTGTGGGAGTCCAACGCTTTAATCACCAAGCCACCTACTGCTCCCTATCCCTAGCTGTTCTAAAGGCTAAGGTGTTGCATTTGTCTACCATCATTTAAGATTTCGCACTGAAATCTGCCTTCCTTCTCTCTGTCTCGGTCTGGTGATTGCACATTCCCTGTAGCAATTTAAAAAAAAAAAATAATGATGAATAAAAATTAAGTAAATAATTCTTTTAAAAGAACAGTCCTTAATTCAAATACTAGGTGACTGGTTTGGGTTTTTGGTTGTTGTTGTTTTTGGTTTTTGTTGGTTTAGTTTTGTTTATTTAATTGCCAGAGGACTCATGCACTCACCAGAGAGAGACAGAGACAGAGAGAGACAACGAGAGAGAGAGCAAAAGCATCCTTTGGTGGAGCTTAATCGTATTGCAATTGTTTCTCTTCCATTTCTCCATCCTGTCAGCGTGTGCGTGGGCCGCACACGCACACACACCTGATGTGTTTTTGAAACCATCAAGTTGGGATTTGAACTGCGGTTGGCCATGTGGGACCTGGGTCCTTGTACACAGTCCTGAACCAGTTTGCTGTAAGACTGACCAACTTTGTTTTTCTCCTTCTTAAAAAAAAAGAAAAAAGAAAAGAGAAGTTGGAAAGTCATTTTCAAAAAAGCTTTGAGGATGTCCAAGCAGGAAATAGCAACACAGATTAAGAAGCCTAAACTCAAGCAGCGGCGTGGGACGAGAAATTTTCACTCGCGTTCTGCCCACAAGCTCCCATTCCTTGAGAGTTTTACACTCACTCCACATTACTAAAACACGAGTCAGACTCAGTTTTATCTGAGTCAGATAGGGCCCTGACTTTCCTTTTTATCTCAACTAAATGCGCCATGCCAGCTCATTAAATATTTGAGACTCACTTTTCATGAACTGTGCTGTGACATTATGAGTGATTGAAGAAATGCTATTTGATCCATCTTACAAAACAAGCCAGCCAGAAGTGTCCCATGTTAGTTCAGTGAAGAAATTTATGTTGTTGTTTTTTTAATCTTCTTTTTAATAGTACATAAAACCATCTTAAGGGCTGGCCCAAGGGCCTAGTGGTTAAGGGAGCTTGATTTCCCATGGACAAGCATGGTTTGAATCCTGGTCCCAGCAGCTAGAAAAGCACAGGTGGCACATGTATGCGTGTGTGCCCCGATTCCAGACGGAATGGAGGAATGGGGGAGACGGGATTGTGGTACCAGCATGCTCCAAAGGGAGTTGATTTCTCCTTCTTCCTCTCCCTCTCACCTTCTGTCTCTCTGGCAAGCGCATGCACCCTCTGATCATTAAAAATAAATAAATAAAGAGACCAGCGGATAGTGCGATGGCTATATCACTGGACTCCCATGTAGTCAACTGCGGTTCGAGTCCCGGACCTGGTGGCTTAAACTCACACTGGGTGCATGTGCGTGCGTGCTCAAGACCCGAAGAGGATCTTTGTCTCTCTGGTGAGCGCACATGCCCTATAACAAAAAAACTACTTTAAAAAAATGGATTAAAATAAATTTAAAAAATAACAGCAAGTACATACCCACGCCTAAAATTAGAGAGGGCAATAGAAAAGACGGGACTGCCTTGGGGCCCTTCCTCTTGAAGGGTGATCTCTCACTTTCCCAATCTGTCTGTCTCTCTATCCGGAGCCCACTTGCCTTATGCAGCCAAAACTTAAAAAGTAAACTCAAGCGTTTGCCTCTCATCCACTCCTCTCTGCCAGTGAGAGACTTACAGAAAGGAAGAGCCCTCGGCCATGGAGGGATTGGACATACACGATGCAAACCCCCCATGAAAACGCGCACAAGGGCAGCGGAGTGGTTTGGTCAGGACGTGGTACACACCCCAGGTTGATCCTTTCCACGTCTTTGGAAATTCCGGCGGGCACGGACGCCAAGGATCTGAAGGTGCAGTGGACCTCGCTGGGAACGTAGCAGGCGCACGGGTGAGGGCAGGCCAGCGCGGCTGGCGGGTGTGCCCAGACAAGAATCAGGACCACGGACAGTGCCGCCCAGTGCGCCCGCGTCGGCATCCTGTCCCGGGGCGTGATCCTTCCACACCTGTGGGAGACAACACACACAGACACACACACACTCGACGCGTGCACCGTCAGAGAGCGAGGCCGCGCGCCGAGCCATCTGGATGGGGATTGCCAAGCGTGCTTGGTAGCTTCCCAAGGTGTGGGATGAGATTAGGGGGTGACACTGAAAAGGATGGAACTTAAGAAAGGCGAAACTCTCGTTTTGTGTTTTCTTGCTCACGTTTTCCCATGCGCCTTCATCATCCCTGCCACACGGCTTTGATTGTGCAAATAAATCTACGATTTGGACATGCCACTGTCCCGGGTCATCCAAAGGTGGGTCTGAAACACGTACAGCCACACGTACAGGAACTACAAGAAGTGTCTGAAAAGGGATTGAAGAATGGGTGTGTGCAGGCACAAACGCTTTTTTTTTTTTAATTCATGCATACTTTTTTGGTAAGATACCATTTTCATGAACGTTTACAAGATTTCATATAAAGGACAGATCCAGAAATAGAAAGATCTATGCTTGTATAATAATAAAACAAATCATAAAAAGCTTTGTTTTTGCCCACCACGTCAAAAAGGAGCCCTTATAAACTGTACCTAGTCTCAAAAAAGAAAATTAAAAAGAAATTAAAAAGTCGTTTTCCAAGAGGCGGATTTTGTTGGTTTGTTTGGTAATAATTCCTCGGAGCTTTCTTTCCCCTTTCTTACATAGGTACTGGCTAAAAGGAAATTCATCTTTCTGTTTGTCGGTCTGTTGGCTATCCTTACTTTTGTCTTAAAGCTTAAAAACCATGCAGAAAGGTTATGACAGCGAAGCGTCATTCTTTATCAGGAAGGACCATCTATACAATCGATCGGAAGGTAAAAACAGGGCTAGCCGGGTGAGAGAACGCCAGGTTATCGATGGACGGAACGTCCAGACACGCGAGGTCTCGCCCCAGCTACCTCGTTAAGAAAGACGGTGATTCATTTCTTTTTCATGCCCTGGCCACGCCTTGTCATCGACTATTTCTGTCCCCTTTCCAGGGACGTGGACTTTAAAACAACGGTCCATATGGTGCGTACCCCGGAAAGAGTCACACACATGAACGGGTGACACCTGCCCCTTGGAGCAGGCTTGCAAAGTGCGCCTAACGCGCTCCACCCCCGTTCACGCCAAAGAAAACCGCGAACCCGTCGCCCTTGCGTCCTTTCCATGAGCTGGGGAAGGTGGTTCTGTGAAGCCCGAGGGTGTCTGGTCTCTCAGCTCCCCATAAAAGAGCAGATGATGTAGGCAGGTTTTGCACAAAGCCAGTTGGGGCTGCACCTCTGAGCGCCGGCTCCAACCGCTCCTGCAGCTTTGCAAGAAGTCGCCCCGCTCGCCTGAGCTCAGCCCTCCCGGGCCCTCCCTGCGCGCCGGTCTGGCCGCTGGGTTTCTTCCAAGGGTATCCAGGCCAGCCCCGGGCCCTCCGCCTGCAGACAGACCCGGTGCGGGCATCCCCGCCTTCGCTAAGGTCCGCCTGGCGCGTCCTGCGTCCCGCCCCTCGGAGCTCCGGGGCGCTCTCTCCAAAGAACTGCAGCTCTGGGGACGCGCGGTCGGGTTTTTCCGTCCCGGAGCGAACCAGGGACGCGGCAAAGGCGGTGGAGACAGGCATGAACCCGGAGAAGCCAGGGCGGGGGCGTGAGGCCGCCTGCTTTCCTCCCCGCCCCGGGGCGCGCAACCCCGAGCGCCGCGGCTTGGCTGGCGGCCAGGGCGCTGGGCTGGCGGCCAGGGCTCGGTCGCGCCGAGCCAGCTGCGCCGCGAAGTCTGCGCTTTCCCGGAACGCAGCTCCGGGGGCCGCGGACTCCGACGTCCTCCCCCGGGATTCCCGCACACCGCGCGCCTAGGGTCTGCACTAGCCTTGCGCCAGCCGTGGGGCTCGGTGGGCCCCTTTCTTGGGAAAGCCGGGGAGGAAAGAAGGGGAGGAGGCGGAGGGAGGGAGGGTTCTAGCATAGGGCGCGGAGCCTGAGCGACCTGGAGAGGGCTCTGAGCCGCGGCTCCCTTTAGGACGCTCCCTGGGAAGGAGCGGTGGACGGGTGGGGTAGCCACGCAGCACCGACGATCCCGCAGCGCGCCGGGGAGACCGTCGGGCGTGACCGCGAGGATTCCCAGCATCCTCCCAGACCCCGTCCTCTTCTCTCCCTGACCCTGAATCAACTGACCCTTCAGCTGCTTAAAACAGCGCCAGGGAGCGCCGCCGCGCGCCCCGAAACCCCACCTACCG